AGCGATCTTGCTCAGAGAGGCTTAAATGGACGCCATCTGTGTCCTCCTGTCTTCATTTAGATCAGCTAAAGGCAGAAGTTGTCATTGCTGAATCCCAGAAAATCTGCAGGGCAACCGACGGCGTTGCACTCTGTTTGCGCTCTTCTGTGCCAACATTGTGCCTGTGAGCCTCCCAGCTCCACACATTCAGCCTTGTTGATAGCATTTGGCTGATCTTCTTGAAGCTTTCTGTGTGTTGTGTTTTACCAAGCTTCCCCTGACAACTGCGAGCAAACATAGATGTAGAGAGGCTACGAGTCATTTGAAGGCAACGGATTCCTACTTCCAGCCAATCCCATCGACGCTGACGCCCATAACATCATGTCTCGCATATAAAAACTCTTTATCTTTGGCTTCCTGACCTACCTATATCCTCAAGTTTATATTGCACTCATTAAATACTCAGTAAGTAAATAGTCCACTGTTTGGCCTGTCACTTTTTCACTATATAGGGCTTTTGCTCTGGAGATAAGAGTTCAAATGGACTTTAAAATCAAGAAAAGACAGATTCATAAAAATGCACTGGGTGTAGCTATGTTAGATATAATAGAGCAATGTATACTCTGAGGTGTCTATGCATATTTTGTTTTATTGCAAGCACAAACTTTTATGTACCCATTTTATCTCAATAAAATACTTTATTGGGATTTTATGTGACAAGGAAGTGAGCTGGAGTTTTTTTCCAGGTAATTTTAACACTAGGTTTTAAAACAATATTCTATAAAGGCATATGATTCATTTATTTATTTATTCATTCATAAAGCACTTCAGTATTGTGTGTTTTCGAGGCACATAGTGCTTTTCTATAGCACAATCAAGTGATTATATTAACTTGTTAAAAAAAATTATATATTTAAGTTCAATTCACTTTATTTTGGTAAATTATCAACATTAAACACAGAAAATAAAACTAATATTAATTAACAAACCCATAATTTACCAAAAAAGGAATAGGCTGAAGCCAAAGCTTATATTTTCCTACCCTGTTCATATACTTAGCAGCTTACTGTCATAAAAAATGGCTGTATCTATCAAATATGGCTCAAAAGACATTTTACTTTGTAATTTAACACCCTGAAATTGGGCTTCTGTCCCTTTTAAGAAATTCCTGCTCTGTCTGAAACTCCACCTTCAGGAAGTGACATCATCGCTCCTCTGTTAACCCTTTTACAATGTTTTTACCAGCATTGCACTGAGAGGTTGTTGTGCGCAGTTTCAGCATGTGTTGCTAATTGCTGCTGGCTAGTCTAAAGGAGTTAGTGAAGTAGACACTTTGTAGCTTGGAAACAGCGACTCTGAGGAGAAGCTGCATCTTGAAGGCAAGGCTAGGTTCACCCGTTCATTCTTCACATCTAATGGTTGCCACGGTAGATTAAATGAATCAAGGCAATACCCCAGTTATGTTTTTGATGAGGAAATAGCATTACATTATGTAAAGCTTCACAAAGTTGATTTTACATAATACTGTCCATTTAAAAATAAAACATTTTCAAAACGATTGGTTACCAATTTAATTTAGTGCCACGTTGTGGGAGGTTTTGGGGGTAAAAAGATCAGAATTGAGCCGTTCAGACTGCCATGAAAAAGTTAGATATGGGCAGAAATAATCGGATTTGAAGTCCAATATTCACCAGATGTTCTTTGTGCAATCAGACATGAAAGAATGGGCAAAATGTCAGCATCTGGGGTAATAAAATCTAAAAAGATAAACTGCAAAACGTCAGTTACTGGCTGTAATCTGGACAAAATGTGAAAAAGTTCAGGCAGTATAAACACTTTTGCACTGTATATAAACATTGCTTCCCAGGTTGCTGGGTGAGGCCAGGTTTCACCCCATACGTCGGGGCTGTCCTCACCTTGCCAAGTTTTTTTTTTTTTCTACTGTTGCAAGACAAACAAGCTGACACCAGCAGCAACACATGTGAGTAATGTGCCAGCAGCCAAGTCAAACATTAAACCCTAAACCAAGCATGAATGAATGAGCTCTCCATGGCTGCTAGCGGGGTCCTGATAGGAGACCGTACACACATGTATCATCTGCAGAGTGGCCGGCTGCACAAAAGAATGGATTAACTGTACAGTCTCAACAACAGGCATCCATCAAAGGACATTTTTCAGCCTCAACTTGAACATGTGCTTATTGTTAAACTTGATGTGGCTGGCACAACTCTGGGAAATATTTCATTTATAATCGTGGGTGTTGGACTCATTTCTCCATGTTTGATTTGTGTCCGAGAGGTTTTAGCTGTGCTGCGTTAGCTATTATCAGCTGCAGCTTAATTAGAGTAATTAGCCTTGCTGTAACCCACACACCCTCTCCGACAGTTTACCCTCCAAGATAAGTTTGTGAGTTTCCTTATCGGACGCATCAATCACTTTGTTTGCTGCTGCACTCATGCTGGACTCATAGAAGGGTGCGGTAACAGAAAAAGGAAGTATACACCTGCAAATGTAGAGAATGGGAGTTTAATGGTTACATCTGAGTGTTTTTAATCATTTTTTTACAACTAGCCATCATCAGAAGTGGCCAACCTGTTTTGTTCGGTGGAAGTTATCAAGCGGGAGTTCATTGTTTGAAGGAGGTGAAGAGGGAAACTTGATTTTCTCTCAATCTGTTTAACACCAAAATGACCCCAATCTTGTTAGTCAATAAAGCTCCGAGACCAACCCTGGTTGTTCTCATCCCGTCACCTCAGGAAGCGGCGGCGTTCAGGCCACCCTGAAGTGGAGCGGCTCTCAAAGCTCTTTGAAGCCTTTGCTCTTTTCCACCCTCACTTCTGTCTGATCCATCTTTATCCCCTCTCCTCTGCCTCCCGATCTCTATCTGTTTCACTCATCCTATTCTTCAAGCTCTCTTTTTATCCCAGGATCACTCCTTCAGACCTTTGATTTGCATGTCAAAAACTCCATGCCTCCCACAGCCCCTTCCCCACTGAGTTTGAGTGTTATTAATGCTAATTGGAGGCGGGGAACTCCTTTAAGAAGTCAGCTGGTCTGTTTGTACACCTGGTGGGATGTGTGTGTGTGTGTGCATGTGTGTGTGTGTGTGTGTGAGAGCCAGAGACATCTTCTGGTTTAAGGTGCAAGTGCAGTGGGGGAATTGAAAGGTTTATTTATGGGTATTGTAAACATTTATTACATACCGAGATATGTATGACAAGAATTTGGTTCTAAGTCTGTCGCAATAAGCAATTAATCAATTTATCAATTATTTGCATGGTGAATTAAAATGAGTTCAATCATTTCCATTTTTATTATTAACATTTTTGAAGGGCAATTTTATTTTACAGGCTTCATAATCATTCTATATATGGTTTCAGTTGTTCGTGATTTTTATTTTCTTTCTATTTATTGTTTTTCATTGTTGCGTTTTATTTTGGATATTTAAAATGTCTTCCAGTTTCAGTGTAGTGTTTTGTACAAAATTAAAGTTTATTACACTTTCAGAGGGCAAATAAAATCATTAATTTGTCTCATGTTGTAACTCATACAATAGATATATCTTGTGCAAGAAGGAACTCCAGTAGCAGTCAGTAATGCATCGAAGCTGAAGAGGCCTCTGACAAAAAAAAGAACCTGCCACAACAACTTGTAATTTAGTTCCATATATGTAAAACAGGAACTTGTGTCACTTCAAAAACACAAAATTTACCAATCTAACCAATCAAATCTACCAATAGAACTGATACTTTTTCATCAACACTTAAAACAAGCCTCTACATCTTCCTGAAAAGTTCATCTTAAATTATTTTGTCTAATTTCAAGTTTACTAAGATATTTACACTGGAAACTAGACCAAACATACTTGGTAAGATTTATGTTTGCACTGATTAACCTGTTATATATTTAAATAAAGCTTAATTTTAGATTAAACAGGCCACAGAACATACTGTGGTCAAATAAAACATATCTGTTCAATACATGAACAAATACCATATATAAGATATATTTTCTCATATCTTAATAACAGTTTCTATCATAGTGCTGATCTTTACAGCCCAGTGTAACGTGTATACTCCAGAACTGAGGAGTGTTATGGAGAAAGGCTAAATGTTGTCCTAATGGCCACAGAGATGATTATTCTGGTATCAGTTTACATCCCAGCTCTTGTTGTGGTGAAAGAACTAAAAAGAACCGCACTGAAAGATATGATATCCTTCACTACAATGTCCAATTAAGCTATCAAAGCCTGGCAAGTGTGATGAATAAAACCCCCAGTGTCTGTGTGTGTTTATTTTACCATTAGGGTATCATTGTCCTCAGAGGAGAGTGGCTCGGTGTTATGCTACAGTTAGCGCGCGTGGCACTGAGGGAGCAAATTGGATTGGTATTACAGTATGTAAGCCTGCTGTTACATCCTGATGAGCGCAGACAAACAAATTGGATTGGTGGCGTGTAAATCCGAAGCAGTTTGATGAGCCGGAGGGGCAAATTGAATTCTCAACAATGTAAATCTGCATCAGCTCGATGGCTTCCCGCCCGACTCCGCCACTTAAATCACGCGATTGTTCCCCCGTCGTTTCCAAGGCACAATCGCTCATGGCCATTTGCTGCGGCGCCTAATCTGTTTTTGATGACCGTGCTGGGGTGTCGCTGTACATATGGGCAACTGAACGTCCCTCTGGCCCGCTCTGCACAAATCACACTCGTTCTGTTTTACTTCAGCCTCCGACACACACACATATACGCAACCTGTACATTTGGCAGAGAAAGATTGCTTTGATAGAGCCATCCTCGTGTGTTGATTCAAGTGATTACTCAGATGTTTGGTGATATTAATGGACCTCCTGTTTTCTTCTGATCTTTATCTGTGAGATGACAGATGATATTTATTTCTCTTTTCCAACTCTGATTAATACACGTTATGTTTAATGGCATCTTCTAAGGAAACCACTACCAGGAGTGAATAGTTTTTCCTGTTCATTTGTTGCTCTGACTGTTGTGTTTGTGTTTCTCTGCAGTTATCCGTACAGTGAAGACCTCAGTCACGCCAAGCAGTATAACACCACCAGATGCCCCGCCTGGTGTGACCGGATCCTCATGTCAACTTCTGCCAAATGCCTGATTGCTAAGGTGAGCAACTGACTTTTGATTTTAAAAATTTGCAACCAACTTTGCTTTTACATCTTGAAAATTATAATGTCACAGGCACAAACTTTAAGCCAAATTCGTCTGGATAGCACTTCAAACTTTACATAGTAACCATTTATGGAAAAAGCAATAAACTGGTAACATTTCACATTTGATTATGTCAAATGTCATCATCAAGCAAATAAACATCAAATATATTGATCAATATTTCAGTTTTTATGAATCAAAGGAAATTCTAAAGAGGTGGGTTTTTAGCTTTGGTTTAAATTAACTCAGCGTTTCGGCAGTTTTGCAATTTGAAAACGGAATGCTGCTTCTCCATGTTTGGTTCTGGTTCTGGAAATGCGGAGTAGACCAGAACCAGAAGACCTGAGTGGTCTGGAAGGTCGACACGACAACAACAGGTCTATTTTAATGTATTTTGATTATTGGGGCGCCACCTGCTGTGGCCCCCGTCCTGGAAATCGGGTCAGAAATTGGCAGAATAATCTTGTCATTTGATCCAGATGCTGCAACAAGATGATCATCCTAAATATACAGCCAAAGATTTAACAGAATGAGTTAGATCAAGGCATATTGGTGTGTTAAGATGTCCCAGTCAAAGTCCAACAGACACCCTCAATCCTATTTGAGGCTACTTTTGCAAAATTGTTGAAGAAAAACCCCTAAAAGCTCGTTAGTGTCACTGCAGTAATGTGTTCTCTCCCAGCTGCATTTAAATGTTAAATGAATGAAATGTTTCCTCCATTTGTTCCTGAATGTCCTTTTGACCCACTGAGCCAAGGAACAGTGTTTATCCCAGCACTTATAGAGTTCTGCTGGGCCCCATCTTCTTCATAAAGCCTCGTCTTCCTCAGAGAGTTGAACCCCTGTTTAACTTCGGATCCGCCTAGAATTACAAACAGCAGCCAATCTGCCGCCTTTCTGCTTCTCTCACAGCCAGTGCTGCTCTGTTTCTCCCCCGACTATTTAATTTGTTTGCTGGATTACAGAGTGATCCTGCATGCAGCCGAGCAGCGTTCACACACATTTGGTTTTACTCCTTGACAAATACATCTTTAAACCCAAACCAGCCAGGAACCCAATGAAAAAACATAAAATTTTGAACTTTTTGGACTTCTAAGTCTTAGTATTTTAGTGTGTGGGTGTGGGAGAGGTGCAGCAGTGTGTTGTACAGAACCAGCCCACAGTGGGGGGGCTGCTCAGGAAGTTTGGCTTTCTTTTGTCTTCAACAAATGAGAAGAAATTCCTTCCTGATCTTTCTTCTCCAGCGACTGAAGCTTCAATGGAGATCTGCAGCCTTCCCAAAACATCAAGGCTGATCTCTGGAACAAAAGGTTGAGAAAACAGCAACTTTAAAACACCTGCAGTACGAGATGTCACAGCGTAATAAAACTGGCCCGGTGTTTCCAGATTGTGAAATAACTTAGGATTAACTTCAAGTGTACAAAATGTTATTTGGAACAGTCATTATACGCAAAGCAAAGAAGAAACTGGAATTAATTTCTGCTTACAGGAAAAGGTGCCCAGAAAAATGACTAAACACACAAAAGCTCAACTTCAGGCTTTAAAAAAAACAAAACCTGGCTACCCACTGTCAGGCATGGTGATGGAGTAGTGGTTCAATGGGCTAACATGAATCACTCCTGTTGTCTGTGTGACTGCTACAGCTTGACCCAAAGGTCAAGGTCATGGTATGACATTGATGCCAAACAACAAATCCACTGGAGAACAACTGGAAATGAAACAAAATAGGTGTTAAAATGGTCCAGTCAAAGTTCAGACCTCAACTTGACTGAAATGCTGTAGAACATAAGATAAATGTGCAGAAATTGGAAATCTGCAAACCTTTTATTTTTTCCTTACTTTTAATTTTTTCCTTTATTCCTTATTTTTTCTTTTCTTTTTTTTCCCTTCATTTTCTTTATTTTTCTTTCAAATAATTTTTTTCTCTTTGACATTTCTTTTTTTCTTTGTATCTTTTGTTTTTTGTTTTCTTTCCTTCTTTTCTTTTTTTCTGTCTGCAAACTTTTAATTACTTAAATCTATGAAGTAAAGTCAGGTTGGACAAAATTCTTCTGCAACAGTGAGCGAGTCTGAAAACCTGAAACAGAAAACCTTTACTGAGTTATTGCTGCTACAGACCTGCTGAAATGTGGGATTTATTTTTGTTTTTCACATTTTGATATAATAAATAATGTTTGTTTTTATGATATTTATTAATTTGTTGGGTTTTCCAATCCCAGGAGGATTGCCAGCTTTCCACTTGAATGAATAAGCCTGTCACAATAAATGATTAATCAATTAATCGCATGATAAATTAAAATTAACTCGATAATTTCCATTCTGATTTATTTTTTTTGAAAAGCAGTTTTTATACAGAGACATTGTAATAAATTTTATTTATGGCTTTAGTTGTGTATGTTTTTTATTTCTGTTTTATTTATTGTTTTTGGTTGTTTTATTTTGGAGTTTTAAAATGTCTTTAAAGTGTCCATTTTCAGTGTTAGGTGTTTGTTATAAATTAGTTTATTCTTCTTTGCATAATTGCACCATTATCAATACATCGCTTCTCTTTTCACAATTTATAGTTCTGCAAAATTATGACAGACCTAGTTGTAAATAGTTTATCTCTCTGCAGAATGATGAACTTGAAAACAATCCTAGCAGCTTTTCCTGGATTGGTAATAAAAGGCTATTGCTGCTATCTTTCCATATTGTCAGAAATTATAATGCAAATTGCAACAACTGTAATTTATGTGCACAAAACTTTGTGCACAGATCTGCTAATATCAAAAAACATAATTTTGGAGTTTCCATTAAACAAGAAACACAATTAAAATCTCATTTGAATAAGTTTGTTCACACCAAGTTATTGAAATCATGCTGCCCCATGTCTCTGTCCTCTACTTCCTGTCCTCTTCTCCGTGGTTTGCGCCAGTAGCAACACTGTAGAAAAACCTGTTTGCATTGCAGTTTAGCAAAATAAAACAATTTCAATATGGCCACAAAAACATTCTAGTGCCACAACTTTTTTTTCTTTATTAGGGTGTTTCCATTAAGCACATTTATTTTTACAATGATATTTGATCAATGGAAACACTGATGATGATGCTCATTAGGTATATTATGCAACTGCTTTCCTTACATCCTCATTAGTGAAACCCTGAAATAAAGAGGGTGTACTTTCTTTCGCTGCAGGTACATCCAGTCTCCTTTATCAACTTAATTTATCAGAATTATGTTAAAGGTGATTCTCGCTCACAGCTGGCTGCTTGTTTGCTTTCCTCGCCCTGAAGTGCCGGCTAATTGCTAGTAATGCAAGGCCGGAGTGGAACAGTTTAGTGCTTTCGCAGATTGGCTGATGATTCACGGAGCGCCCACTCCCAGGCTCTGAGCATACAGATTGTTGAGACATGGGCCCGTAAACAGCCCGGCATGCGGCGTCATCTATCATGGCACGGTCGGTTAACTCGCCATCATGTTATTTTCTGCTTGCCGAGCCCTAACACGCCAAAGGTTGCCTGCTGGCTGCGCGGCGCGGCACCAGCTCCGGGAGCGCCGGTAATGAATGTGTAGCCGAGCGAGCGCTCCCTCCCTGCCAGAGGAGCCCCCGGGTAATTTGTTTATCTGTCTAAAGATTACGCAGCCCGAAAATCCACAATTTTATGCTGCCTTTGTAAATTACCAAGTGTGTGTTTGATGAATGAATCCCAGGCTTGCGGGGGAAGGAGGAGGGACGCCCGTCACTTGAATAGAGAGGTGGCGGCTCGCTTGGAGAGGCGGCGGCGCGCTGACCCCGCGCCGCTGCCGGATCTCTGAAGTTAATTCTGAATTTGCTTTATCGCTCATTCTCCAACTCCCTCCTCAGAAACAGGACTGCGGATCTGTATGCGTGTGGCTGTTCAAAAGCTCTTTAGTTCAACCAGACGCGTTATGATTTATTCTCCAGTCTGAAGATTCATGAGTGAACCGGCATCAGGCTGTTGGTGTGTGGAGAGGAATCCAGAAACAACATTGTCTCCCACAGTGGGAATGAAGCAAATACACAATGTGGGAATTATTTCTGCTCTTTGCTTCTTCGCTCTGAAGGGTTTCAAATCATGTAGATCTAAAGTTAAAATGAGAAATTGGAATGTTTTCACAAAGTTAACTGTTTTGAGACTTGCGTCCATCCATTTTCATTACTTCATTATTTTCAATTACTTTTGTGTCGTTTACATTCATAAAAATCCCCCAAATATTATTACAGCTGAAATGGATAGAAAAAACCCACAAACACGTGAATGCTTAAAACTGCTTAATAATTCAAACACCAAATAATATCCATTAACACAGTGAGGAAACTAACAGAAGCTAACATCTACAGTGTTGATTATTTCCATCCAGTCAGTACCAAGAAAAATAAATGTCTTTCCTGGATTGGCTGCTTTGCAAACGTTGTTGACTCTGTAAGCAAAATGTGCTTGTCTGAGTGCGTTTCTGCTGGTTTTGCAGCACTAATACATTTTATTTTTCTGTCTCTGCAGCCAGAAGATGGGAAAAAGGAGGGAGAGCAGGAAAATGAAGAGAATGCAATAGTGTATGATAACATTGGGCCAAATGTCTGCATGGGGGACCACAAGGTAACACCAGGGGCTCCAGCCATTTTTCTCTGTCATTGTAAATGAATCTCCCTTTAAATGTTGTTGAAACTGGCAAGATGTGGAGGAGGCTTTCTGAGAAATGCCTTTTCAAAGTATTGTTAAATAATGTCTTATGATCTTATGGGTTTGAAAAAAAAAGTGCACTGCAAAGGCAATTCTCTGCATCAACATTTTATTGCAAAACACGTTGGTGGCACCGTCATGCTGAGGGTCTTGTTTTTTGTCAATGTCATTAATGTAGAACAGTTTTAAATTCCAGTCAGTTTTGATCCTGAGGCGTCCTTAGAGGGATTTTATCTTTCATCATCACACTATCTTTCATCATCACACTTTTGTTGCATGTTCATCCGAACATGCAACAAAATAATAACTCAATGAGAGAAAATTTAGGTTGTTTTCCCAATTTTTTATAGTAAATGCTGTTTCAGAGTAAAAAAATTAATCTGTTAGTTTGATTCTAAAATGTTCAAACACGTATTGCACATTTCTGCCAGGAATAAATATAAACAAATTATTCATTTTCAAATATAATGCTCTCCAAATCTCAAATAAGTCATTACAGTTCAATAAAACTAGTATGTTTGAAGGCTTAACTTTCATCAGTCAAACCAATTTGCTCAGCAATATATTAAATACTTTAGTAAACTAAACATTTTACAGCTGGATATTACCTGTCTGAATAATATCGGTGTTTAGTTTCTACGCATTGGGGAAAACTAGCGGGAGTTTTTAAAACAATGTGCCAGAGTCAGGCGTTCTCCTCTGGTTTACCGAACCCGAAGCGCCCGGCCAGCCGGCAGACGGTGAGGGGAGCCGGCTGTTGCCCTGCGTTTTAGTCCACTTCCTGCTTTTCCATTCATCAGAACAGAGATCTGTGCTTTTAGACGGACCATTGTTGCCTTTTTTCGTCCACATAAGAGTTCAATTTTGCAGTCAAGCCTCCCCAAAAGAACTAAGCTTTCTAATCAAACAAAGTAGAGTTGGATTAAACAGGGCTGGTGTGAATCCACCCTGAGATTTGCAATGGCCTAGTCAAAGGCCAGAACTAAATCTGATTGAAAACTTGTGGGGATCGTTCTGTCCAAACTCCTAAGATTTTTTTTTCTTAGGAGTTTGGAGAGATACTGCATGACAGAGTACAGAAACACATTCAGGTGCCTTCAGTTAAATCTGTTCTCATGTAAAGGCACCCTGGACACTAAAAAAAAAAAAGTGCAGCAGCCTCCAAATCACACATCAGTGCTAAAATCTCGGCTGCCTCTGTTTAAGAAGTGTCCAGTGTAGTTGACACTCAGGCCCAAAAATGTGCGGTGCTGCTGTGTGAGTTTAACCTGCATGTTAAAGGTGCTCAGAGGTCAGAGGGCAGCAGCGAGTCCTATTCCCACAGAGCAACAACTCACCGGTTTCTTTTTCCTGACTGTGGTTTGTCTCCTTCCCCCCTGCCAGCCCGTCTTCCTGTCCTTCCGATTACCAGCGGGGAAAGGTAATCCTTATGCATGTTCCTGCAGATGTTGTGTGGTGCAGTGATTTCGTGGTAAATATCATTTTTCTTTTTTTTTTTTTTTATTTAACATTCTTTCCCATTGTTGCAACTGTTTGCTTTGATTTGCTTGTGTTTTCTCTCCCATTATCTCACACCAAAGTACTTGTAAGAGCAAATGTTTCCTATCTGAAGAACTTTTATCCAGAGAACTTAAAATGCATCGATCATTTTAAGATGCTTTCTTACAAGCTAGACTTTAATTTTTTTTTTATTCTAACCCATGAGTGAATGTCCTATAAGTCAAGTAGTGCAAAAGTATTCATACTACTTGGACTTTTCCCCATTTTGTCACCTCACTATCACAAACAGAAGTATTTTGAAGTTTGTGAACAATCAGTGCAAAAACACAAAATCTTGTCAAATGTTTTGTCTAATTTCTAAAGCAAATATCTTAGTACACTTAAAATGAGACAAATAACTTTGAAGTAACTTTTCAGAAAGATAGATAAGCTTGTTTTAAGTCTATAATTATTTAATAGAAACAAAAATCATATGAGTTCCACTGGCAGATTTTTTTTTCACTTTAAACAGGAAAAATATTTAGCTATGAGAAAAACTTGGATTTTTATCTATATTTGAGAATGTTTTACTTGAAAGAAACTTATTTATCTTGCTAAAAAGTTACTTTTTAGTTACTTTTGTTTTATTTCAAGCACTCGAAGATATTTGGTGGGATTTTGAGTTTTTGCAGTGATGGAGTTGAATAGAAAAACAAGTGGAAAACGTAAGACTAGAATAGGACAATGACCCTAAAAATGAAAAATAAGTAAATCAAAGTCTATTGAAGTGTTAGAATGGCCTAGTCAAAGTTCAGACGTTCATCTAATCTAAATTCCCTGGAGTTTGTGGTTGTGATGTTGCAAAATGGGCAAAAGACTCATGAATATTTTTGAAAAGCATCCCAACTCTGCAAAAACACTAAATCTAAGTATTTTGGTTTCTAGTGTAAATCTCTTTATACAAGTTGGATCAAAACAGAACAAACTTACAAGTAACTTTCATGAAAATACCAGAGCTTGATTTAAGTTAATAATTCGTTATTAATATTAAGGATTTTATTACTTAAACAAGCTCCGATATCTCACTGAAAAGCTACTTCCAAGTTAGTTTGATGCGCTAAGATATTCAGACTAGAAACTGAACCAAAAATACTTCGTAAGATTTTGTGTTTCTGCAGCGAATACTTTTTAAAATGAACGTGTAAACGTTTTATCTTCCTTTTTTTCTCCTCTCCCACAGGGAATTCTTGCCAAAGGGAGGTAGAACATATTCCATGAAGAGCCTATGTGAAAACACCTGAAAAACATACACACACGCGCACACACACACACACACACACACACACACACACACACACACACACACACACACACACACACACACACACATGTGCACGCAGTTTGCACATGCACACACTGAAGATCCCAGACAAGCTTCTTTTATTTTCAGCGGCGCTGAGTTTTCCGGACGGCTCATCCGTGCCGTTTTCTCTCCATAAAACACTCGTCGCGATGCGGACGAGCGCCAGAGGAGGCGCCAGAGGAGGCGCCAGAGGAGGCCCCGGCTCCGTGCCACAGACGCACATTGCTGACCTCACCGTTGCCATGCAACCCCATTCCCCAGAAGAAGAAGAAGAAAAAAAGACAATCAGGCCGATGAATAAGTCACCCTTTTTTTCCATGCCTCGTTTCCAAAACTCTAATCCAAATCAGTCATACTACATGCTTTTAGACATTTTACTGGCCATTTTTAGGTATGCCTAAATGTATAGAAGCTACTTTTCAAACAGTATGTAAGGTGTTAAACAAAAAAAAACAGAAAAAATAAGAAAAATGTGCAATGCAAATCATGTATATCTATATTGTTAGGTTTATTTGTACATTTGACAGTATAATATAGAGCCTTGGATGGTTTTAGTGCAGTTCTCTGACCAAACTTCGCCGTCCCTGTTGGAATAAGTAGGACTTCTGATCTTAGTTCATTATGAAACTATATGAAACTATATACTTTTCATCCTGTTGCCTGACACATCAGTGGACTTTTTCATTTTATATGCTGTTCTTTTTAAAGAGATAATTTATGAGTCGCACCAAAACGTTTGTGCTGCAGCGTGCGCAGATGCTGAGTGAGCGGGAACGCCACGGAAAGCTTCGGATAAGTTCAGGAAGAAAAACTCTTTGGTGATTTATTGCCTATCCAAGAATGTTTTAAGCAGTGCCATAGACCATTCAAGTATATATATATATATATATATATATATATATATATATATATATATATATATATATATATATATATAAGTGTTTGATATAAATACCACCCTCACATTATGTCGTTATTATTCCTATTCTAACTTATTTCTATAATATTATGGTTCTGAATGTGATATTTTAGGCTTGGGTGTCCCTTAAGATGTAAACAGTTTTTGTTTTTTGTTTTTTTTTGTTACTGCATTGTGGTGCCAAGTATCCTGCACAGACATAAAGTGTGTAAGAGTTGAGAAATGTCATCTGTAAAGGTGTTTATTTCCAAATGTAAGACTCTAAACCCAGAAGAAGAAGAAAGCAGGGAGATTTTCTTCTTCTTCTGTGTGGAGCCCCCAGGACGAGCATTAAAGGGGGCAACCGGAGATGGCAGCGTTTATATTTTTTCCTTCTTTTATCGCGTTCGTTCACCACACTACAGGTTTCGGACTGTTTAAAGCCGTCGGACCGATTCTTTGTGATTTCTTTATTCGTTTCATCTTGATGAATCACAGCAAGTGGAATTTTTAAATGTTTTTTCTTTTTTTTTTTTGTGCCAGCCGGAGAGTTAAAGTCGTCTTTTGTGTTTGTTTGTAGGCAAAAAAGAAGCTTGTTTTTGTTCCTGCTGGTCATTCTTAATATGCTGTAGGAGTTTAAGCCACAGTTGTTGTTTTTTTCTTCACTCTATGTTATAAAAGCAGACAAGAGATTTTATTCTAGCCCCTTCTGGAAGGCCTGGCCTCTATTATAGGTGATGCAGTTCTTAAGCAATAAAAACCATTAGAGCTCAACTCGTGTTTTGTCTCTTTAATCAGTTTCTTTATTCAGAAGCGACTCACTTTATTGTATGTTAGGCTTTGCAATTTACTTGTCCAAGTTAGTTTTACCAATTAACTTTTTATAGAAATTGTAGAGATGTATATAGATAAAATTGTGAATTGGAGTATAAAAAAAAACATAAAGAACACGTATCTTCATGAAGATATTTTTTAAATTATGCAAATTTCTTTCACTATTAATATTAGTTTGATATTTTAAATCAAATATTTCATTTGATTGTAGGTTTACTACCAAATTTTAAAAAATGTAATCTAATGAATCGATTCCTGATTGGCCTGATGAGGCCTCAGATTTATGAGGTCAGCTGCAGTAGCAGGTACTGTCCACAGAGGGCGCTCTTCCGTCCAGCAGTACCACCTTACATTTACTGAGAACCACCAAAAGCCAGTTTTCTTACTTAAATCAGAATACAAAAAAGAATCATGTTAGTTATTTCCAAAAATTTAAATTTTTTTCATAACTAATATTTTTTTAAATTTTGTTCCATTTTCTATAAAGCCCATTCACACAGTAAAATAAAACATAAAAAAAGCTTGTTAAATAATTTATTCATAATACAAAGTCTTGTTTTTCCTTCCTATATTCTTCCTGGAAGCAATAATACTTTTTTTTTAGATCAACATAATTAAAGTTGCTGCAGTTTTCTGGCCCGCTCCATAATGAGGTAAAACTCAAAACTCCTCTGAATGAAAACAAAGGGAAGATGTTAAAAGAAATGGTTTTGCTTCCTTGTTTTTACAGTGATTATTTACAGCAAGTATTTTCTGCCTGCACTTCTCTGCGTGAAGAGTTGAATAAAAGGTTGAGAAAACGGATTAAAAACGTAAACAGCGGGTCAAATAGCTGAGGGAGGGAGAGAGACATGAAGTTTGAACCAACATAACTTATCCCGTATAAAATATATACAATCTCACTTCACTCATCCCAAGCAGACAACCCCTCCTACACTCCCAAAAACAAAAGGCTTAATAACTCTTGCTTTTTTTTAGCACAGCGGATTTACCCTGGTTAAAGTGAGCTTCAGAACCTCACAGGCCCGTTTACACCATGCGTCTGCAATCCGGATCAGCATGGAGGCGGTGTGGTGAAAAAAATCATAACATCTGACAAAAGATGGGGGCTGCTGTTTAAAGCAGAAAAAAAGTTACTTTAAAGCAACAGAAATGAGAAATTTTGAACTGGAAAATTTTTGATTATTGTTGAGACTTTTCCTGGTCGACACCAATTTTTTTAAAAGGAATTTTTAACTAAATAATCCCCATTTATGCAATGAAGCATGCATCCCTGACCCTACATTTGATTTATATTAAACTGAAAAAAGTGCATCAAAGAGCAAGTTGTTGGTTGATGTGTTAACGTGCCAACAACAAAAAGTAGCAATTCTTAGTTTTAATGCATTTAGCAAATCATTGAATCAGAGCCAATCAATGAAAAATCGGCTGATTCCGATTCCTGGACCATTAATTGGTGCATTTCTAGTTGGGGAAAATGCTTTCATGCATGAATAAGGATGATATTTCTGTTTTACAATGGATTGAAAACTAAGAAAAAAAAGTTGAATACCATTAATTTTCTCTTTTTTAATCTGTTTTATTCCTGTATCGACCAGGAAAAGTCTGATTGGTGCATCTCTAATAACAATAAAAAAAAACAAAAGGTCCTGAAGTTCCCTGGAAATTTGGGTTATTACTGTTGAATAAATGAGTGAGTCTCGCTGATCCGGATTTAATATTGTGTTTAAATTTGCCGCCGCAGTTAAAACTCCCACTTGGCAAGTTTCTTCCTCAGTTTTACTGTCCTCTGCACCGACAGAAACTTGGACTCTGTTTTTTTTTTTCCTTCAAGTTCAGCTCGGACGAGGAGTTCTGGAGCGCCTGGTGTCCAGTTTAGATGGAGCCCCTCTCTCTGGCATTTTCTCTGCCCGAGCAAAATGAAACAAAAAAAAATTATAAATTGCGCTTCCCGTCACACGCAGGTTGCTATGTCAGGTGGGAACTGAGTGGGACGGGTCTCCGGCGCTGGACGCCGCTGCTCTGTCCATCACAAGGTGTCCGAGCTGTTACTGCAGGGGCTGATCAGCGCCAGGTTGCTGGTGGCCTTGTGCTTCTTCAACAGTCTCGTGATTTTCTCGTCGTCAGAGTTGGGGTCCAGCGGCTTGTTGTACTCGTCGTCTTCCTCGTTGTCCGAGCTCTCCTTCATCTTCTCCGTCTCAGAGTCGTGCTTCTTCTTGGCTGAGGCCATCTCCGCGGCGTGTCTCTTCCTCCACTTGGTCCTCCGGTTCTGGAACCAAACCTGGGGCAGTGCAGAAAAAAAAAATCTAATAAATGATGCAAATATTCACCTATTATCTGTTACAGTGGCTGTGAATTTTAATTCATTTTTTTAAAAGACGTAATTCTGATTACCTTTACTTGACTCTCGGTCATTCCTAGGGAGTAGGCCAGCCGGGCTCGCTCGGGTCCAGCCAGGTATTTGGTCTGCTCGAAGGTTTTCTCCAGAGCAAAAATCTGCTGCCCGGAAAACGTGGGCCTGGAGTGTTTCTTCTTGCCGTCTTTGTCCACCATGAGGTTTGCCTGAGCTGCAGAGCACCAGACAGAAACATGGAGGGGAAATAAATTCAGAAAATTCCTTTAATTTGTCCTGTCTCAACAAAAATATCTTCCAGATTGTCTTGTCATATATCTATTAATTTAAAAATATATAGACATATTTTTTTTTTTACACAATTGTGATTTAATTTACATCTATATCTGATTTGTTAGAATGAAAAACTCAAAAAGTCATGAGAGAAACTTAAAAACACATCAAATATATAAAATTATCAATTTAAAATTAAAACATTATATTTTAAAACACCTTGTTTTAAATCAACTGCACTGTATTTCAATTAGAGCACTTTTAGCTTGACATAAAACTTTTTTTTACAGTTAATATATCTCAAAAACACAATAGATTTAATAGCATGTCTCACTGATTTTGCCTATTCCTGTTATCTGTTTTTAAAGCTTTTATTTTAAAGCGTTTTGCACAAATAAAATTTAAAAAATCAACTTGTTCTAGTTTGTGCAATAAAATCTGGTCAAAGCCGACAAATTAAATATTATAATAATTTGGGTGATCAGGGTCTTTGTAAGGTTGTTTAGTAAAATGTGTATAAACGCGACAATAATTTAGTCGATAATTCAAAATAAAAACTGATTTACTCAATGATGGAAAAAAATAAATTTTATAATATATTTCAGGGTAGGGTGGAAAATCTAATGCACCCAATAATAGCTGCAGAAAAACTAAATTTACTAAAATGATGGCTAATAAATAAATAAATAATTTTAAGAGCGTCATTACTTGGACACGGAACCCGCGGGTCCCTCCACGGGGCGCCCTGCATCACCCCGGGCCAGAAGATGGGCGCCCTGCCGGGCAGCTCGGCCAGCGGCTTCGGGTACCGGGACACCGCGGGGCTGAAGTACATCCCGGCCGCTGTGGTCGCCGCCAGCCCGTTTATCCGCGGGAAGCCGGACAGCAGCTGCCCGGCGGTGGTGATGGGTCTCCCCAGAATGTCGCTTATTCCATGCGGGGTTCCCCCGGAGATCTGCGAGCTGAGGTTGGACAGCGAGGGCGCCTTGAAGCCCGCCGGGCTCTGCTGCAGCGCGTACGGGAACAGCGACGTCTTCATCTCGGTCATGTTGTGCAGCGCCGCCAGCGGGGTGCTGCCCAGAACGAACGCGCTCTGCCGGTTACCGTCCATCTGCCCGACCGCTAACATTTGTAAACATGAACCACCGAACTCACTTCAGTGGAAATAAAGGACTTTTTTAATTTTTTAAAGGCGCTGTTGTCGCTTTTCCTCCCAGAGTGTCCTGGATGTCGGAGGAAGAGTCGGGAAAAACTTCTTCTCTCCTGGGAAGTTCAGACCCGGATGAAACCCCCCCGGAAAGTGTCTCTCCGTGTTTGTTTAGGTCGCGGTCCGCCGCAGGAATCCTCGCCCGAGTCAGCCGCCTCGATGATGTTTTTAGTGGTTTTGATGGGAACCATTAAAGAGTCTCCTTTTCATCCCATAAATTGACTCGCTCTCTGCTGGAAGGGAAGCGGGACTCACTGATAACATCACAACCACCTGCAGGCGCTCCCTTCTGATTGGATA